TCGCACTTTTAGGCATGCCGTATTATCCAGCTGCGTGGTCTTCCGAATCGTGGAAGCCGATTGGCGGTTGTTGTTTTACAGGAGGACCAAGTGCACTTACCGGAAACAGTGCTTTTCGTTTTTGCCTTTTGCTGCAGTGGCACGCGATAGCAATCCCCCCAACGGCACTTTTCCCGGGGGCACGTATAGAGGAGGATACTGATGTAGAGTCAGCCCGCACATTGTCGGAGCCAGATCAAGACTTCCTCGCACGCTCGCTCTTAGCGGCCGCCACTGACCAGAACTCCCGTGAGTCCGGGTCCAGTCTGCCAAAGAGATTGCTGGCTGAGGAGCAGTCGTGTCCGATGCGTGGCCAACGTCCCAGGGATCCGCAGCTGGCTACGCCGGCCCTTTTCGTGCCATGGCAGGAAGTTGCAAAGCAACTCGATATTCCGGTAGTGCATGAAGACCTTTCTGAGGACCTTCGAACTATGTCTCAAACAGCCATTGGCATCCTCCCCACAGAACACCAACGAGACTTTCATCAGTTGCAAGGCATTGCTTTCAGCCAAATCCCCCAGGGAAGGGTACCGGTTGAAACGGTTGCCCCAATAGTTCTGGACTCCATGTATGAGACACATCCTTGGGTCCCGTATTGGGAATCCATGCTCTGGCACATGGCACAGTCCTATCGGTTCTGGCTTGCTGCCCCTGAGTCACCCCCGCCAAGTAGAATCCAAATTAACTGTGGTGGCCTTGGTGGAGGCGCCCTGGACAGCCCAACCACCCCGGCATTTCACTGTACTCACCCAAGAGTGAATGGGACTTGCGTCTATGGCCCCTCCTTAGCGCCCGCCGATCGAACAGTGGGCAGGTCACGGAGGTTGCTGCGGGTCATACGACTAGTCAGTCTGCATGAGCGATATTTTTGGCTCAGAGCAAATAGCTGCAGGTCAACAGACAGCCTCCCCTATCAAAGAACTGCTGGAGCACAGTTTGCGCTTACGCACGCTGTCGCCTTGCAAAAGAAAAAAGGACGGTAGTCGTTACCCTGGGAGATTACAATGCAGCAGCAGCAGCAGGAACCCCTACTGTTGGCAGATGATGGCACATATGTCGATGTCACACAGTTTGTACGTTTTGAGCTCAACCACGAAGATATACGCTATGGGGTTCTGGACCTTGTCGTGCAATTCTCATATAAGGGACATCGTGCGCAATGCTACTTGCTGCATTTCTTTCCGGTTGAGGCAGTCAAACAGAATGTTAGACAAACCTTTCCAGAATGGACTGAAGGGTTTCACTTCCCGCCCGCACTGCTCAAGCTAAGGGCAACACTGGAGGGATCTATCATCCCGCTGTACCATCAAGGCTGCATTGCCATCAATAGTAGGGGCGCCACCCTCTATGGTTCTAAAAGGACCCTGGTTCGCAGAATGATTATGCATATTCAGCACCACGAAGAACCTCTTCTAGCAGTGCTAGCAGGTTCAGTGCCGGCCAGGGAGGCCATAGAGGACATGGACCCCCTTGATGCCTTTTTGCAGACGCGCCCCTTTCAAGGATCACTCCCACGGCGTGCAGGATTTTGGACGACCAACGACAGACTACAACAACCTCCACTTCGAGTGAATACACAATCAATGGATCAGGCGCCCCCTCAGCGAGATGTAGTGCGCGCGCATCACCAAGTTGAAACAGCTCTCCACGCTAGAGTGCAGGCCCTTCATGCTTTGGTTGACGACATTGAACACACAGTTGATCACATGCCGCCTGACGTACAGGGTGCCCTTCTTACCCCCCTTACCGACTTGCACTCACAACTTTGTGGTTTAGTGTATGTAGCCTGGCTTTTTTCCCTTCTGCACCCGCAGGCGGATGATCATACACAATACCTTAAGGACCGCTTGTACTTAAGCTACTTGTTCTTACTTCAAGTAACTTGAAGTACTTGTGTCTACTTATGATCTACTTGTGAACTACTTATGTTGTATACAAAAACACAATTGAAAAAACAAGTAGATTAAGTAGTTCACAAGTAAGTTATAAGTAGAACCTAAGTAGAAATAAGTAGGTTAAGTAGATTCGACTACAAAAACCTTGTTTTTAAACATTTTTCTTGTTTCTGCGCAAACTTGGAAAACTAGTGAATTTGAAGGTTTTTGTAATGGAAAATGAGGACACCAGCGCAAGTTACCAAATCCAATTTGGTGCATCGGACAGCGATTCCTGCTGCGTATCTGAACCACTTGCGCACAATGCCACCGTTGTGTTGCCAAAAGAACACATCTCCAACCGTGAGCGGCAAGGAAATGAAGTAGCAACCTAAGCACAAATCATAAGTAACGAGTGGCTGGGTAGAAGGCCGCACGACACTCACACTCAATTTGCTTCAAAGGCAAGGCGTTGCAATTTCCTGCGGAAAAGTGCAGGCGCGCATGTATACATACATATGGACACATGTATTTGTTCAGTGAGTGATTTGATGTGTAGAGAAAACACATCATATACATATATACATATGAATCTTTGACCTGTCTCTCAATTCGACTTTAGGCTTGGTTCGATTAGTTGGTTCAATAGACAGGTTGGACGAGACGGTACATCTTCTTGGAACCACCCAAGTCAAAAATAGAAAAGGACATATGGACGACGAGAGGCTGTCACTTTCTTCCAAAGACAGAACAGCAAAATGAAGATGGTCCTCCAGCGATGATGTCCGGATGGGCGGCAGCAACTCAAAGAATGGCAGGCCACCCTTCTTGAGGTTGGACAATGACACGTCGCAGAGGCGAGCCAAAACGCTCGCTGAAAACTCATCATACTTCTTGACCAGACCACGTTGCCTATCGCCGACGCCTGCCTTGTACAGTTGGTGCTTGGACTCTAAGGGTTCGCAGGTGGGAACGCTTCTCAAAGTCGGCAGGTCATCCGCCAAATGGAATCGGTGATGGTGTTTAGGCTTGAATGCGCCATGACTCTCTGCAAACAACTGGTGATGCCTCATCTGCAAGGCAGTCAAATTATCTGCGTGGTGCTTGGTCAATGGCGTCATCAAATGTTGAAGATACCTGATGTAGGACACCACCTGGCAACACGCCTCAAAAGATTCATGCTATTTTGCAGGAACCGTGTGCACTGGCGCTATCACAGTTTGGCAATAGTACCGCAGCAAAGGCAAAATGGCTGATGTCTGGTGAGCCTGTCCTTTGAAAATGCCCTCGCCAAAGAGCCTGGGATGAAACAGGGACTTCAAGTATCCTGCAGTTCTCCTTGTATGTTTGTTAGCCACCCATTGAGCTGACAAACAACACTCCAGAAGAACATCCAAAGTCACATTTGCGCGTTCGGTCACGGATTCGAACCACAAAGCGATTTCCCATGACGCAACACCATTGCAAAGGTAGGTGTGCATGAAGTCTGTGCAAAAACGCCCTGGAGGTAACTTGTTTCGTTGCTCCGAAAAAAAAAGAGTGTGAGGATCATAGGTTTTTCCAGAGCTTTTCTCCTTGAACTCTCTCTCTCTCTAATTTGGTGCGGGTCCTGCGCAATGTATCTGCGCACGCAAAGATCTCTGAATCTTTGGCTGCCACAAAGCCACCTGAAGCACTGATCTCCACGAAAAAGTCATCAAACGCTGTCAGGTTACTGTCCAGCTTCAGAACATTGGAGCAATGTAAACAGCAACGGATGCCGGCCGACCCTTTGGTCGATGTTGCAGCTCTAATGCTTTCAGCGTCGCCAAGAAAATGTGGCTGTTGATTCTGTCTGAACATCAGCTGTCCCATGGGCGTGTTCAACATGAACCCTGCTTCATATTCAGGAGTGATGTTCTGCTCCAAGATTCGGACCAACACTGCCGACATGCCCCCTTTGATGGAAGCCAAAGCATCAGTTTGAATCGCAGCCACGCAAAGCCATGCATTGGGGTTCTTCAGGTGATGAGAGAATTCTGTCCATGAGCAGTAAAACAAACACACTTTACGACCTTTATCAACGGCCAAAACGTTGCCCGCGGTCGCCTCATCCGCGTACAAGATTGGAGTCAACTTGGAGCCAAAAGATTGAGCTGCCCTGAGAGCTCTTGCGAAGGCCTGTGATTCTTCAGCCACTCGTTTTACAAGCTCTTTCAAAGACATGATGGGCAAATGAATCGGTGGACCTTCATGTGTCTCAAAAGAGTGCCACTGAGCCATTTCCTTCCATGGTCCCAGGAAATCTTGAACCGTACGCAAAAATGTGCCTCTGCCAATTTGCTGCTCAGGCCGTAGGATGTGCCATAAGTCAAAAATGGCATTGTCTGAGGCACCACGAACACCTAAGCTTCGCCGCAACAGACTCTCACCTTCAGCGTCAAGAGCCCGCTTGGGCATGGCATCTGGTGGTGCTAAGTGTGAACTGCTTTTCCATACGCGAATTGTCTTTGGACATGTCATGCATCTGCATTCTTGAAAGGATTGCGTGTATGTGAGTAGTCAGAAGTGGTGTAATAAAACACAAGGTGCAACGCATAGTGCCTATAAAGATTGGTGCGTGATAATACACACATTTGAAGTCACCAACAACAAACTGAGCAAAACCAATCACGAAATATGCATATCATCTGAAACCTGACGGACTATATCTAGCTAAAGGAGCGGCTCCAAACCGCTATCTTGGATCCATCCATGTACATGTGTCTACAATAATGTTACTTGCAGTGGTCCATGTGAATCTAAAAGTGTAGCCCGTACCATCTAGTTAAAGGAGCGGCTCCAAACCGCTATCTTGGGACCATCCATGTAGTACATGTGTCTACAATAATGTGACTTGCAGTGGTCCATGTGAATCGAAAAGTGTAGCCTGTACCATCTAGAATCTAGTTAAAGGAGCGGCTCCAAACCGCCAAGTTTTCCTCTGAAGCATCTCGGGCAGCAGACCTTGTCTGAGAGACTGCTTTTCCAGCCACCCTTGGCTTCAAATTAGCGAAGCAAGTTGCGTTTCCAAAAAAACGCAGAAAAGATTACATGGAAAACATGAGCTCAGCGTTTGCCCTTGCCCGGGGCAGCTTTGCTCTTGGCTGCCTTAGGCGCTGCCTTTGCTTTGGGAGTCTTATTCACATCAGCAGCAGCCTTTTTGGCTTTTGCCTCATTTGCGTAAGAAGAGCGCACATCCTTCAACAGATTTTGCGATGCTTTGATCTGCGTCACAGCATCAGCAACTGTCACAGGCAAAGCGACTGGATCCTCTGCCAACATCTTTTCGGCGCTGGTAGCAATCAGACTTGTGGCCTGCTCCTTCCACTCACGCATCTGTTTCTTCACCTCGTCGAAACCAGTCTTCATGTCAGCTTCAAGCACGTCTGGCTGCTTTGTAATCTTGGCATCGCAGACGGAAATGGCGTTGCAGACATTGTTCAATTGGCTGATGAGCTTGGAAGCCTTGCCAATCTCAACCTTCCAACTCCTCGCTCGTTCCTGCGATATAAGTGCAGGTTCAAAGAGAAGGCACCAAAAACGAATGTGTAAAAGAACATGTACGACAAGGCCTCATCGCTGCCTATGTTCAGAAGAGCCTTTTGGAACTCTGGCTACGAAAAAAAATATACCAGTATCATTCTGTGAATATATGCAAACACATTGATTTCTGGAAACGAACAGATTTGTAAACACTATCTACATATACAGATACCATGTTTCTGCCAGAAAGGATTTGAATTTGAATCCTGACAACGCGAATGACATGGATATCCCAATATATGCAATGCACTGGTCCTGAACAGCTTTGCGCTCACCCTTACCATCATCAGACTCGGACGGTTTGGGTTTCTTCACTGGCCCTTGCAAATCGGTGTCAGATGGAATGCTCCAAACCTCATCGTCCACTTCGATGGCATCTGCAGCACTGGATTCTGCAGTTGCTTTAACTGCACGCCCTCGCTTGGGCTTTTTCTGTTCTTTCAGAGTCCATTCCTTCTCTTGAATTTCCTTCTCCACTTCTCCCCGGATATTTTCATGAACCACCGAAGTCAAGGGAGCAGCCCAAACGTCACCAAATACCTGAATCAAGGTGGTTGGAAACATGTTTGTTTTATCAATGAAAGCATAAATAGTATTTACTCCCCCAAACGTTGCCAAATACCTGAATACAGGTGGTTGGCACAATGTTTGTTTATAAATATAAAGCGAATGAAAAACTTTATTAGCTCACGCTCCCTTTGCCCGGCAGAGTCTTAAGTCAGTCCAGGTACTGGGTTGGTACGTTTTTCACCCTTGGCCTGCAGCAGCTCAATGTCATACCCATCTTTCTGCCAAACCGACAAAGGTTTGAACTCTGAGCTCACTCGCACGATCATCTGCTCTTGGCGGAAACTTGTCATATGCCTCACAAGTTCTGCTTTGACTAAAGCCCATCTGCCATTGCGAGGAACCGCGGAGATGCAAGCGCCAGCAGTCTTGAAAAAGTTTTTCTGTCTTTCGGACGAGAAAGACTGCACAGTGTGAGCCATGCCTCCTAGATGTCTGTACAACATCTGGTAGATATTATTGCACATGAAGCACACCAAGCAACCACCTTTCAGAACAGCTTGGGAGGTATCTGCGATCTCTTGGCCACATTTGCCGCACAGCTGCGTGTCCGGTTCAGCCATAGCCACCTGATTGTCAGCCATTTGGGCCTCCTGTCCAGCCGTGGGTTCCAAAAAGGACAGGTCAGAATCTGTCAGTTCAGAAGGCACTACGCGGCTGCAAAAAAACACATCTGACCAAAATACAACCAAAAATCCGAAAGATATCCCAGAGATAGCCCAGAGATAGCCGGAGATAGCCAGGAAAAAAGTACTAGAAAACAATGCAAAAACGAAGATAGCCGGAGATAGCCGG